AACATAGTAACCACATAGTACATCCTAGGTACCAACAATCACACACATCTTAGTTGATTATGGATTAAATTCTTAACTCAACTTAGTCTCACATACAATAATATATCTTGATATTAAGAACACACAATCTCACCATATCACTCCTAATTCATCACACATTTCATTTTCTTACATTTATAATAAATTAGATTTGTTTTGGACTAAATACTATAATTATGTATGATTTGAACTCTTTCTACTCTTTTAGTCATAACTTTTTGTATAGATTTCATTTTCGACTAATTTTTATTTCATTAAATTCCTTATTTTCGAGGTTTCAATTTAAATATATGGAATATAAAATTTGGATTTCAAAGCTACCTTTTATGATTTTTAGAAATTTGGACAAAAAATATCTCAAAAATTTTGTTTAAGCAAAAATTCAGCCACATCAATTCTCTCTCCTCTCACTTGAGTGAAGATAGTCTTGCTTGAGTAAAACTTTAGCTAACTTAACTGTCATTTGAGCGAACTGTCACCGTCTTGGGTCATCTCTTCCATCACCTTGCCCTCACTTAAGTGAATTAGGTCTCATTTCAACAAACATTGGCCCAAGAAGTATGGTTTATCTGAGTTTCCTACATTTTCCCGTTCCAATACCCAAAAACATAACTCATATGTACTACAAACATGTAATAGGAACATTATATAACACAAGAACACATAAATACTCCTTTCTACTATCATTACAACACATCAAAACATATATACTCCCTTTCTAGACATATTATATTACTTAAATAATAAACTCCTCTTTTTTGGATATTCATGAATCCTAACTTCTTCGTATGAATGTGTAGCCCATAATCAATACTTTAGTTCTACAACCTAGCAACACCTCCACACAACAATGATATAACTTAGAAATAACCAAAATACAAAATAGGAAAAATGATTTACCCGTCCAAAGTTCTGTTCGGACAGGATCCTTCCTTACTACCTTTAACTTCCTCCTGTCACTTCTGGATCTAAAATCCACCAAAGTTTTTGTACTCTAAATTTAGAGAGCCTAAAATATTATAATACAGAAAGAGAAAGATGAATGTTTAATAGAAATTATTCAATTTAACCTTATAGAGATTTTTAAGTAACTGAATATATTTTTATATTTATAAAATAAAATAAAAACTACAGTATTACATTTTACACTAAAACTAAAAATAAAAACACATATTATAAATATTATAAATATATAATAATACTAATATTACATATATTTTAAAAAATAAAGTAATTTTTTTAAGCACAAACAAATACTCAAGACTTAAATAGCTAAAATAAATATAAAATAAAAATTCTTAAATAATAATAATAACTAATAAATTACAATATATTATTTAATACATACTAATTTAGACTTTTATAACTTGTCATGGTATTGTCTTTTAACAATCAATGAAAATGAAATTAAAAATACAAAATTTTAATTATTTTTTAAATTTGAAAACAAAAATATACATTTATAAATTTAGATTTTTAAAATAATAATAATAAAATCTATGATCTTTTATCTTAATTTGTATACTTAAGCTTATTTTGTATGATTATCATAATAATTATGTCATAATAATAGAATAAACTTTGATAAATTTAACATAAAATAAAAAATAATTTGATAATTTTGTATTAAAAATATTTCTAATTATATATTTAGAACATATCATTTTAGAAATGATGAGATATCTAACTCAATCCAAAATCAACTCGATAAGATAAGCATTGTACTCAACTATATATTATAATGTTATTGTATCTTTACTAGATGTAAGATTTAATCATATCCCCTCGACCTTTAGGTGGGATTTTTCATATTCCAGCATAGTTAGAGTAGGTTGTGATACAATTTTAGAAATCCTGAGATATTTAACTCAATCTTACAAAATTGACTCGATAAGATGAGAATTATACACACCTATATATCATAATGTTATTGTATCTTTAATCGATGTGAGATTTTATTACACTCCCTCACTTTGAGGAAAATTTTTCATTGAATCATATCTAAAACATACTTAAACATGTTAAAAACATGTTCACATTTATATATATATATATATATATATATATATATATATATATATATATATATATATATATATATATATATATATATATATATAAATATATAACCTATCTCCATGACTATAAGTAAAATGTGTGTTAATTATTTATAGACAAACAATTATAGAAATTGCATCATGGCTAAGTATTTGGCTAAACTATTATAAGGCATAAGCGAAAGCAACTTTTTTTTATTCACTCTTTTTTTTTATTTATTCACTTGTTTTAGCTTCAAATGATTCTCTACGTATTCTCCTACTTTTAAATACTTTTTATCTAAATATTGACTAAAAGTACTTGATAAAACTATGACAATTTACAAAAACATGAAAAAAATAAATATATAAGAGAGTAAATCACTGATTTTTGTTAGAGTAACATTTATATATGTTTGGCATGCATCAAACATAACAAAACTTATACATACATAACATAAACATATAAACCATATAAACACTTATGGTGGAAATAAGAGTCAATATGATCTTAGAAATTGTAATTAGTTGTGTTCCATTCAAATATATATAAAAGTCATGTTTTTAAAATGGAATAGATCATTGAATTTTTTTTCTTTTTACTCATGTTTTTTTTTTCATCTATAAACATAACTTAAAATTTTATTTAAAATGTTTAAGTCTCTTTTTTCTAAAAAAAGTATTATTTTTTTTTAAATTATAAAAATTAGAAATCCATAAATTTTTTTTCCATAAATTAATATTTATTTGCAATTAACCTTAGATAGTTATATGTTCTAAATTTATTAAATTATAATTGTTTATTATACTTATTTGAAGATTTATACCAGTAATAATTTATTATTAAATAAAAATGAAAATTTATTTAGTAGTATCATAATATAATTTTTAAACTCTATTTTCATGGCTCACCTTCTCAATTAATTCAATAAATAATAGATTAAAAAAAATTACTCAAATAAAATTCTTATCAGTTTATTTATCAAATAGAACTATCTATTATTTATATACAATTTTTCTTTTCTCTCCTCGTAATATTTTCTCTCTTCATTCACTTTTGTTTTTATCTTTTTATCTCAAGTCTCTCTGATTTTCCTCTTTCTTCTCATACTTATTCTTCTAATTAATATTACTATATTAAAATTTAATAAAAATATGTTAGAATAAAATTTTTAAATTTAATATAAAATTATAAAAATATCAACTAATTACTTAAAATTATAATAATAATAATAATATTTTATTTATTGTCACAGTAAATAGTTCTATTTTCGATGACGTAAATAATTAATTTAAAATTATTTTATTATAATAAATCAATTTCTTATCTAATTAAAAAAGTATTATATTTATAAATTAAATTGATTTTATTTTGTAATTTAATTTATTTATAATTAATTGAGTAATGATAATTAATAAGATTAGATTAAGTAATTTAAAAATAAATTATTAAAAAATTTACTTTATAATAATTACTTAACTTTTTTTAAATGATTATAACATAACAATAATATTTGTAATATCATAAATTTATGATGTAATATTTTTTAAATTTTAATATAATATTTTTAATTAGATAAATAAAATGGAGTAAAAGATGGATAAAAAACAAAAAAAATATTGAACCAAAATAAAAAGACAAAAAATAAATAAATAAAGATGAAAAAATTATATTATATCAAATGAATTTATTTTTTATTATTAAATTTAATATATAAATAATAAATAGATCTAATTAAATAAATAAACTACAACCATATAATTTTTCCTTTTGATGGCATTGATTCCCAACTTCTGGCATGAACCAATTTATGATATTTCAAAATTAGTTGGAAAAATTAATGCGTCCGTGGGATTCAGAAGATGCATGCTGCATCCATCGTACCATCATAATTAATATAAGAAAATTTATATTATCTTGAGCATTTTTTTAAAGTTATTTAACATGATAATAATATAATTTTTAAATTTTATATTTATTTATTATTATCATATTATTAAATAGAGTTGTATATAAAACAATTGCTTAGTGAAAGTTTTTTCAATTTTATCAGCGTCCAGGATTGAAAGACAATTAAGAAAACATATTCAAAATGTATGTTAATAGTTGGAGATTTTAAACATAATATAATTTTTTTATTTATGTAAAAAAGTTTGATTGGTGAAAGTTTCTTAAATTTTTAAATTCAACCATTTATTGTGGTCCCTTTTTCACACCTCATATAAATTCCAAATTTTATATTTTAGTCTGGCTCTGTCAGAAACCAGAACAGACATAGGACTTTATATATGAATGTCATAAATTCATATATTTTTCATTTGTTTAATTATTTGATTTTTAAAAATGATAACTTTTAATTCATTTCATTATCATAATAACTTCATCAGATATTTGGTAGTACAAATCATCAACACTAATTGCTTTATGATAACAACATGGAGTGAAAGTGTTCACTTTTCTTAAAAGACAATAATGAATATAAATTATAATTCAATTCATAAGCACTAAAAAAAAATTAAACCAATAAAACATATATATGATAACCTTCATAGTAATGCTTAGTGTTCTGCTTCTCAAATTATAACCCAATATAAGCATTTCAAATTATACATGAGTGGTTAAGAGAGTGGGAAACGAAGAACTCAAACCAGATTTATGATTAGCAAACTATCATATTTAACAAGGAAACATAAGTAGACACAAACCAATGTTTATCTGCTTTCAAACCAGGAAATTTACTTCCCTCACAAACTATTATACACTACATACCACAACTATGAGTGGCATTAACTTTCACATATCACATCTATAATCATATAATATGTAACAAAGCAAGGCCATATAATACTCTAGTTTTCTATATAAGCATTAATCATTACTCAAGTGACTACAAATCACTTGTTGAAGTCTTGAACAGATGATCATCAAGGTATTCCAATGATAGGGAAGAAAGGAACATAATAGCTACTTGGTGCCAAACCCCACTCTGGAGGCAGAGGAAGATCCACGGTTTTGGAAGAACCAACCTTTATCCCACCCTTGCAAGTTGTGTTTTGAGGGCATGATGTCCTGAAACTAAGAGGAGTGGAGATGGTGTAGCTGTTTTGCTCTTTGCCCTTGATAATATGGGATACTTGGCCTTTCCCCGAAGCATAAAGCTGAACTGGCCCACCTAGTAGTTTTGCAAGGCAATTCTGAGAAGGTCTGGTGTGGTCTGAGGGAAGGTCAACCTTGAAGGAGCCATCATTTTCTGTGGTAGCCACAGCCAGTTTTTTCACACCATCACACTTCACTGAAACCTTTACATCTGAAAACATGAAAGAAGCATATATAATCTAGACACACATATATATGATGCCTAGAACAGACATACAAAAATCATGGTATAATTTTGGTTGTGTATGTGGTAAAAGCCTTTTATGTAGTTACAATATAGGGATAGTATGCATGAGATTATTAGTTTAAACCTGTTGGTATCATAGTAAAAAATAAAACAGACATACACATGCTGTTTGGGTAAGAAATAGAGTAATGGATAGAATGAACATTTGTTTAAATATAACTAAAGCAAGTAGATGATGCATGAGAGTTGGAAAACCTGATAAGTCATAGTTAAGAGTGCAGTCAACGCAGGAGACTTTGCCCTGCACCGTTTGGCATGTTGAGGGGTCAATTTTAGCTAGGGCTAATGCAAGGAGAAGAACTGTGATAACTTGAACACAAGCCATGAGCTATGGAAGCAAGAAGAAGAAGGTGACAAATAGGGAAGGCAAAGGAAAATTGAAGAGAAAGTGGTAAGTTGGAGCTTATAAATACAAGAAGAAATGGAGTGAGCACATTAAATGTAGGGGGTCCTTGGCTGATATTAGTAGTTGGTGTCAACAGATTGTAGTAAAGATAGCTTTGGTAGAGGTTATCAACATATGACAAGAGGTGTAGTATGAACTGGAATCCACATATGTAACCATGCTCATACTGTAATTGAAATCTCACTGTCTTTTAGGTAGAAAAATTCAATTCTCACTCCTTTTTGGAAATCTCTTAACAGAGTTACCTATAAGCAACGTTATCAAAATATTGAGTCAATTCGCTCAATCAAAATATTGAGTCAATTAAGTTAACGAGTACAGTAATCATATCCGAGTTAACTAGTGAGTAAACTCTTTTTAGAGTAGACTCTGAGTCAAATTCGGTGAACTCGGTAGACTCTAAATAAATCTCGAGTTAGAGGTGAGTCACCGAGTTAGAAGAAAAAGAAAAACTTAAATCTTCTTTGACTCTCCTCATTTTTTTTCATAAGTTCAGATCTCGCTCTTTCCACTACCTGTCGCTGCTTATCATTGTCGTGGTCGTCGTCGCGTGCTTGCCTTTGGTCGCGCAGTGGTGACGCGACGCTCGCTTGGTCACGCACGTTCACCTGGGTTGCCTGATGGTCGCAAGACATTCATCAGGATCGTGCGATAGTCACGTTCCTTGTCGTTGCTCGCCATTGCGCATTGTCCTCTAGGTTAGATCAACGAATTGAGGGATTTGTGATTTTAAGGTTTTCAATTAAATTTAAAGACTAAAGGATTTGGGATTTTAGATGGAGAGATTTTACACATTTAAGATTTTTTTAATTTTGATTATTCTATTGTACAAATTCAATAAAGTTTTTATTTTGATTATTTTAATAATAAATAATTAATATTATTATATTTATTATTAAATTGATATTTTTTCATATAAAATAAATTCTTACAAGTCTACAAATCAAGTTTATGAGTCGAGTTTACTTACCTTTCATGACGTATTATCGAGTCTAATAACTTTGCGACCAAACTTTCTTCTTACATGATTGTCAAGTTCATTCAACTCTTTCAAATATCTTCTTGATTTGTATTGAAAAAGGAGGGAGAAAATACCTAATAAACTTATCTAATGTTTAATACGAAAAATGCTTTTTTTCTTTTAAGAATAAAAAAATATTCGAATAATAATCTATGATCTAGGAGATATTTTATTTTACTATATTAGAGAATACCTTACGTATCTCGGGTACAGTCTGTGGTGGTTTATTAGGTTGAATTTGTAAATTGTTTACCTGCTATAAGGGTAACATCACGTTAAAGGTAGGTATAGAGTAACGTAGCATAAGTTGGTTCACATTAATTTCTCCCCTGCAACTTGTACTCGGTAAAGTTTTGGCCAATAATTGAGTGTTTACATGAGTTGATTTACCTATAATGGGTTAAATGTGTGTATTTTATGAGTTTGCATATAATGGGTTAAATGTGTGTTTACCAAATTTCCATTTTCAGACGACCCAATACTAACTCAAATAATTTTTTTAGAGGAAGTATGAAAACAATTTCTATATATATATATATTACGAAAAATGAAATTTTTACCTCCCTTAATTCTCTTTAGATAAAATATAACCGACTTAAAAAAAAAATACGACGATGCTTTTTGTAAAATCTTCGTTCATTGCACAATTTCAATACATTTGACACTTACAAAGAAATTTTGTAAGTTCTAGTTGGAAATTCCCATGAATTTATTGTATGGTATGCACGGAAATGATAAATAATATTCTACAAATTAGATCACGTAGATACGTAGGTACTCATAACATGAATAGTATAATTATAGAGTATATGTCATTATTATATATAATTGGTTTCATAGTTTCAAAAGAATCATAATAATTCATATCTTGATTGTAATGTATTTATTAAAGTGTATATCATCGTGGTGTGTAGAAATGATAAGTTTATTGGAATTGAGTTATTTAAGATAAATTTTCGAAAATAAATATTTCATATTTAGTTGGTTTAATTAAATATTAGCTCATTTTATTTGTAATTATTTAATTATTTTCAATTGATTTAATTAAATATCTGTTAATAGTTTTTTAATAACTTATTTTTTGTGAATTAGAATAATAAATTTCAAGTTGGTAATTCATTCATGATAGTTGATGAACTTATTATTCAAGATATTGTGAAAAATACTTTACAGATAAAAAAGAAGATAATTTTTCTTCTCTTGCAATATATCTTAATGATGATGTCTTACTATATTCTAGACAATGATCTAATAAATTAATCTGTACAATTCATAATAACATATGGGAAGTTTGGTATTTTTTATCAAAACGAGACAATAATAAGTGCAATAAAATAATTTAATATTAATGAGGGATAAAAAAATTTCTATTAATAATTCTAAAATTGATAAATATATTATTTGGTGTATAAATTATGACAATGAGCGTCAATGAAGAGTTAGTGCTTAATTTAGTAAGATTTGTAATCAATAGGAGATTAAAAAAATTGAAGCGTCTCATACATGTTTGACTTTATCCTCGTTGTTAATATTATTTATAAATTAGTTAAAACAAATCAATTTGTTTCCTATCAAAACTTTGATTGCAAAAATAAAAGACAAACATGATTATAAAGTGACCTTCAAAAAAACATGGTAGCAAAACAAAAGGTATTTGTCGTGCCATTTGAAGACTAGGAAGAGTCATGCAATGATCTTTCAAGGTGGTTGCAATTTGTTGAAAATAATAATCCCGACATAATTGTTCAGTATGTTTGTTCTCTTTATTCAATGCATGATGTTCATAGTTTATCAAATTGTTCAAGTTAACTAAATATTGCTAACGAGGAAAATATCATGTTACGTTATACCAAACAAATGGCCATGAATATTGTCAGGTTTTACAATAAGAATATCTTGATTGGAATGATTTAACCTCAATGTACTATATTTTTCATAATGTCTTAAATTTCAACAAAAAATAAATAAAAAATATTAATTTGAAAAGACAATTTATCAATTTAGGTAATATCTTATAATCTTAAAAAAGTTATTTCTCTAAATAACATATATATGAAATTATTATTTTTTTTGTAGGATATGAGATGAAATAATCAACACTTTTAGAAAAATTATTTGTTTTAAAGTCCGAGTTCGAACAACAAATGTTCCGGTTAAATGAGATTCCACTAGAAAAATAGACCAAAGCTTATGATTGAACCAAACGATATGAACATATGATAACAAATCTTATTGAGTATATGAATTATATTATCAAAGGAGCATGAGTCTTACTTATATGTGTCTTACTTAAAACAATATTTGAAAGAACTAAATCTTAGTTTGTGAAAAGAGGCACAAAAATAAAATACATGTTACAAGCTAGACACAGAGTATCCAAAAGATATATTACTACACTACTTAAGCAAAACAAACAAAGTGTTCAAATGTGTCATTTTCAAAGATATAATATAAAACATTACGAGTATGATGTAGAAGACCAATTAAATCCTCAACGTCATCAAAGATTAATAAGTTACATAGGTCGATTAAATCAATAATGATGTGATTGTAGAGAATTTCAAGCTCTTCGACTCCTTTTTTTTTTACGTTATTCTTTTTTGTTTTTCTTGTCAATTACAACTAGTTGTATTTATCGATCTGGTCTATAAGATAAAAAATGTTTATAAGACTATAAATTTCAATTTCATCTGGTTCAAAATGTAGATTATTAGTATGCTTATACAGGTCCAAAATTAGTTCCTGATCCTAATATGCATCTAGACATCGGAAGATATATAATTACTCATATTCAAAATGAAATGGATCTATCATTTACAAATAAATAAATAAATTATTTTATCAAAATAAATTACCATAACCATGGAAACAGTTTATTTAGACAATAAATTTATATTATTTTCTTTCAAATAATGTAATATTTTAATGTCTATTATTTACTAATTTAAATTTATTCATGTCCTTAATTCTCCTAATATTTTTGTTTTTTTAAATTAATAATTAAATTTATAAATAATATATTTAAAAAAATAAAAAAATTTATTTCTAAAAGAAAAAGTTATCTAAACTCATATTAGGTAGCACGAATTTAGTAAAAATAAATTAGAAAATAAATATCTCCTATTGAAACTATGCCACTAATTTTATCATAAATCCTAGAAATCCGAATTTCGAAGCACAATCTCACCCATTTCAATAATTTTTTTAAAATCGACCCTATAACATAATTTACGTTTATTTCTAACCCTCAAACGTTAAAAAAGCCCCAAAATCCTAAGTTATCCTATTCATTAATCAATTACAATCATTAATTAGCAATTCATTAATGAAATTCTGGGAAATGCTCTTTAAAGATGGTTTTCATAGGCAAAGTACGAAATTTAAATTTAGATAACATTGAATAAGGCTAGGACGTATTAATAAATGCACTTTGAAATAGAGAAACTAATAAATAATATATTTATATATTAATATAAGGTCAATTTGAGAATTTATTAAATCAAAGTTAAATACTTCTTTTTAGCAATTTCATATTAAAATAAATTCTAATATAATGCTTAAGTTTATATAACATCCTAAAATTTTACAGAATTGAAATAAACAAATTATTTAAATAATCATGTTCTTGATGGCATTAATTTGCATGGACATGCAGCAATGAAGACCATCTTAAGTAATTTGTTGTCAAAATTACTTAAAATTTGTTCTGTTTTGTTGAATTCCTGATGATGACAACAACAATCATGTTCACGATTGATGCAATAGTCACGTTATTTTTCCACAAATCAACTTGGTGCGTTGAAAATCACTTTTCTCAGCGTCCTGTTGTTGGATCATAACGTGCCAGTTTTTTAACAGCTGGTTTCTAGCAAGTAATCACTTGGCTATCTGTTCCGTT